TATGTGTTCGTATATATTTCAGGATGGTTTCACCATTTCCCTTCTTCCTTTCAATGGAACTTGTTTCTTCTCATCTCTTGCCCCTTAACTTCTCCTTGGCTTCTTGTCCCCAGATAGTAAGGACTTAGGCTGAAGTGCTAGCTCAATCAAATACTGACAGGTTTGCTTCAAATCAAAAGGGTCTGACACACAGGACTGTTTCCACCAAATGTTATCATGTGCATGGAGGTGCTCTGTAGTGTCAGATGTAACACAGACTGCTTCTCTCCAGATCTTACATAAAAGAATGCAGATGAAAAAACGAGCCTTGGAGGTGGTCTTTTGGGGGAAAGAAGTCTCGAAATTCCCATTACCTTTCTTTTATTTCTCTCTTCAGATCCCAATGAGTCTCCTAGGCACTGACACTCCTAGGCACTGGGTCAGATCTCAAGTTCCCTGTTGGCAGTGTCTCTGCTTCATTCACCTACACATTCCTTATAAAGACTATGACACATAGCTAGGCTCTAGAAGGGAGGAAGTTTAGTCTTTGCCTGCTGTGCCTTGGCAAAACAGATATATTAGATCTCTTTTCATTTAGCTTTCTGATATCAGCTTCCTTACCTTACAGTCAGACATTGAAAAGAGGTGTTCTTGGCACTAGCAAATAGGCCTTCCTTCAGCCAGTCAGAATTTCTGGAATTTTTGTCCATGCATCTAATTGTAGCAATCTTCAGGCTAACTGTAGCTCCTCCTCAAGGTCAGGTTGATGTGGGAGTCAGTTTCTCCTAAAATTTGTAGATCGTACACTGAAATTTTAATGCTGGTTCCACCTCTTACCAGCTGCTATACTGACCTCAAGATTAAATTTCTCTGAACCTCCCTTATCCATCTGTTCATATCCATTATACAGCGACTATATAAAAAATGGAAAAATGTTGAAATGCCCAGTGCCTACCTACAAGAATCCTCCAGTCACTATTTACTCCCTTCTCTCTTTCTGTTTTATTGCCCCTTATTCCCACAATTGTCACTCTTCACAAACCTTTCAGTTTATAATATCTTTTTAGTTATAAACTCTTGAACTCATCACTAACAATATTTTCACTTCTATTGTCCTAGTTGGCTTCAACTCTGAGCTCCTCCCCTTATCTGGGTATTCTAACCATGACATCAATGTCACTGACCCTTTGGATGTCCTCTCCAACTCCAGAGATAGACTGTGAATGTGACATCCAAGGAGGTCTGACCATTACAGCTGATTAGCACAGATTCTGTTCCTTCACCTCTGCTTATCCTCCTCCAGTTGCTTCACATGAGAAGTATGGTTTAGCACTAACTGAAAAAAATAAATGAAAGAAAGAATATTGGAAGTAGTTCTAAAAATTGGTGTTTTATTGTTAACTGAGTGGTTAAAGAGGAGGAGGACTAATTCAATAGACCATCTTGAAGTAAAAGTAGGAAATTTCACTTTATTCTACTACTTCCAAATGTGTTCTCATTTTATAAGGTCATCCTCATAGCATCCTTTTAGATATTTGACAACTCTTACCTCTATGAACTTATAGTGTCTAGTATTCCTAAACTGTTAGAGTATCCCTTATTTTCTCTGATCTGCTGTTGTTTATTAAACATAAGAGTTCACCTTGAGTGTGCTTTCAAAATGATAAATTTTACAGTTAGTTACTTGAGATTGCCATCTTGCTAAGCATAACTTTGACTTTCATCAAGTTCCATAGCCTCCCAAGTTACCTGCTCTCCTTTTCATAAATGTCCCCAGATTTTCTGGTAAGAAAACTCTTTCTAATTAAATATATCTTTTTTTATAGTTAAGAAGCCCAGACTAGAAATATTGAAGATGACCACTGGGGTTTTGGTTCTCTGTAATGCTCTGTATCTAAACTATCCATAATTCAATATCTTTTCTATTTTTTACTCTATCTTTCTACTTTATCTTTTGTTAATTAGAGCCTAAAATTATTCTTGAGTATCAGTACCTCTGCTTTTGAAGCATTATCCAATACCACTTTCATCCAAATATAGTCCCAATATTTTATAGCACATATTCTCCAATTTAACAAGTGCATTCTTAAAATTTCTCTTATATACACATGCCTTCCCATCACATACCATTTGCAAAAATTTTCCCCCACCTTGAATTCTTTTCTCCTTTGTCTCTTCCTGCCTCATCTCCTCACTACCCAAGCCCAGTCTTTGCTACCCAAGCCCAAGCCCAGTCTTTGCCTGTCTTTTTCACCACTATACCCCGTGTGTAGGAAATTTTCTGGCACATGACAAGTTCTCAGCACATATGTATAAACTCAATAATTAACTGTCTTTCAAAACCTACTTCAAAGCTTATCCATTTCTTATCTATGCTATTTTCTTTGAAAATATTCATTTTTGTTTTCACTAGCAGATTGTGAAGTCTTCAAAAAACGAATCTATACTTTGTATTACTTTGCATCTCTCAGAGCAGTGTAATAAAATGAGGAAAGTAAATACCAGGCTTGAGAGGTGAGGTTACACAGATATGATTTAGAAAGCAAATATAATGGTCACCTGCTATTGGTCAGGAACCGTTCCAAAATCTGAGATGATAATCACTGGGCTCTAGATACACATTGTCACTACCTTTATAGCTTGTGTTGATATACTTAAATTCTCTGAGTTTTAGGCTCCTTCTCTAGAAACTAAGAGAATTAAAGTAGGTTAGCTCTAATGTCTTTTCCAATTTCTGTTCTCTGAAATTTAAATATTTATTTAGATATTGATGAGTGGCATTCAGTAAGTACTTAATGATTCAATAATACAGTCTTTACCCCTACAATCTCTGATTATTGTCTGAAATAATAGGGTCTATTTTCAGTTGCTTTTAATGTATTTATCTATTCAACAAATGTTTATTGAATATTCCTATATGAGAAGCAGGATAATCAAAATGCTATAGATACACATCAATGAACAAGACATTATTCATTATTATTTATTCATAATTATTCTTGAGTATCAGTACATATTCCCTGCACTCTGAGACAATGCTTCTCATATCATAATGAGATGGCTAATCCAGTGACCAAATGTAATTAAATTTGTTTCATAGAAGAAAATGAATTTTGTTAAACATCTCACCCAAACTCTAGCTAGCTGTTATCATCATATCTACTAACAAATTATTTACATTGGAAGAAATTTAAAAGAAATTAAAAAGCAAAATATGCCCTAGAAGTACAATTTACTTGAGACTTCTCTAGGTCAATGATTTTAAGGCTGGTCTAAATGGACACTATATAAGAAAAGGATAGGGGACAGTACTAAGCAGAGTTTCAGTTATCCATTTCCTATATTTAACTAGAACAGCTCCATTTGCAAACTTTTTTATGGAAAAGGTTATGCTGCTAATGGAAAGTTTTGATGACTGCTGCTCTAGGTTACTATTTGGAATTAACAACAAAATAATAGATTTGTATATAATTTAATATGATTGATGAATCTATGCTCAGTATGTATTTCAATATATATAAAATGTAAGACAATTATCCCTTGTGAGGCCAAGGGATCATGATATTGAAACTCTCCCAAATCCTTCAAGGAGTCTAGTAGCATGGCATTTAAATACACTTTCCTGTTGCATTTGGACTTCCAGAAAGCTCCTGGTGCTGTATATTTCTTGGTGATGACAGTTTCATACTCATTACATTTACCAATGTATAATTTGTGTTTAAAGATAGCATCTTGGGGGTCACTGTTTTGACATCCTTGAATACTCATACACTGTGCTACTCTAAGCAAAGTGTCTTTGCACACCCTTTCGATTTTCAGTAGTTGAAAAGCAGATTCAATCTATATTCCAAAGATAAAATTCATTAACAATATAAGAGAAATTCAAAAGTAACTTTCTTATAAAGCTCAAGCCAATGCCAGAAAGCATTTTATAAATTATTTAATATTATCTCTGACTTACCAAGGACTGAAAAAAATTAGTAATTTCCATATTTGGTTATAAAGCAAAAAATTTAAGGGGAGAGGAAGACTATGCAATTTATACAAAATAAATAGAGTGTAGCCTGTCTGTAATGCAGGAAATTTAGTACAGATCTCCTAATACTGAAATGACTCATTTACATGCCAAATGTAAAATAATCATCAAAGACATTTGATGAGAAATAATCACCATATGGTTGTTCATAAGATATTACACAATCCAATTCACTAATATGTGGGAGTAATGACCTCTCCTTGGCCTAGCTTTGATGTAGTTCTTGACAATGATATTTCCCCCATCCAGCTTTATAGAGATATACTTGACAAACAAAAATTATATATATTTACAATGTACAATGTGATGTTGTGACACGTGTATACATTATGAAATAATTACCAGTTGAGCTAATTAATAGATCCAAAAGCATTTAAGATTAATTGTGACCCTCTTCCTAATCTTCGTGAATTCAAGGGTTGGAAGGAAGACTCTAATACTTTTGTACCTTTTATTCCTCAAAATCTTAAAACGTGGTTTAGCTGGCATTATGTCACAAGCCTTTGAAACACTCAACTGTCCTGAGATTGTAGCTAGAATGTTTTATCCAAGATATTTTCCATAGAATCCTATTATGTGAGCTGCAGGCCCTGTCTCAAACTATCCTTGTGTCTTGGTCTCCAAGAAGCTGTTTCTCCTGACCGAGCTCTGAAGACTGGTTATGTTTTTTACTTTTTATCTACAGCCGCAGTTGTGTTAGCCTAAAGGAGCTGAAAAATTATCTTTAGCTAATGCGGTTTTTTTTTGACAAGTATAGACAGCTTATCTAAAGTAGGAATGCTTTATACATTCAATGTTAGAGTGTACTGACATTTTGTAAATATCTCTTTTGAATTAGCAAAACTAAGAAAATTGGGGGTAGCTTTTGGGGGCACATTTAGTTTCTGGGGTGAATAAATGATGACCAATGTTCTCTTCTTGTGGAATCAAATCAGGTTAAGAATTAGTAAAACTTACTTAAAGTCTGCTTTTTTTTTTCCCCTAGCCATAACATTCTTCTCTATGAGGATGGGCATGCAGTGGTAGCAGATTTTGGAGGTGAGATTTCCAGCAATAATATTCCAAATGAAATCAGTTTCTCTTTTCATTCCTACTTGGTGCCAAATATGGTGCAAAAAAATCTGAAAATTGATTTTACACTCACAGATATACTTATCTAAGTTATTCAAATTTCAATGACACTGAATTTTGAAAATATATCATTTATTCTTGATCTGAGAGAAAGGAAGTGAGAATTTGAATATGACAAAGGCTTCTTGAGGTTTCAGAATTTTAGCTCTGATCTTTGACCTTGGTTTTAAGATATTTCTGTTGACATGAATCTGTTTTCTCTTTCTTTCAGAATCAAGATTTCTACAGTCTGTGGATGAAGACAACATGACAAAACAACCTGGGGTTTGCTGCTGCTTTTGTTCCCTATAATTATAAAACAATTAAAATGTGTAAACTCAGCATGAGAGAGAGAAGATGAGAGCAGCTTTCAGTGGAAAAAAATGTCATTGTCTCAGTGCAGGATAATGTTTTATATTTTTATTTTCTGTAAAACTCCAAAATAACTATTCCAAGACTCTTCTAGAGAAATGGATAAGATATATGTTTGGAAAATATTACAGATTAAACAATAGAAACATGTTTCAAATAAAGCTGATAAGTATATGGATAATTGACTTTCATATTGAGGTTACCATATTAAGTGGTAGAGTTAACATTTTAATAGATAACTAACTCTACACTTAGTCATTCACCAATATCTATTAACTATTCATAGTTATCTACTTTATAAGGTAAGAGCTGGTGTAGGTAAGCATCAATGATAAAGCAAAATATAAATCATAGCATTGAAAGCAAAGTTAATTATACTTAAAATCCCTGCAAATAAATTCATCACCTGCCCTCTCCTTCATTACCCCAGTTCTTTCCCCCAGAATAAGTACACTTTCCTTTCTGGATTACCTATGATATCTACTTACCCAAATTTGGAATCCTTTCCCTTACTGCTTTAACCTACACAGAACTGAGTAATTTTATTTTTATACTTTCTTTTTCCCCCCTAAGTTTTAAGTTTTTTATTTTCCCAGATTTCTTCTTACTGCCTCAGTTCAGATTCTCATCATCCCTTTTCTGAACTCTTTTGATAGTCTTCTAACTCCAGCCTTCTCTTCCAGTTCATTATTTCCCACATCACTTAAGTTTTGCTGTTTTAGCAATTCCCATCCTACTATAATGTCTCAATAATATACCATTGACTATAGGCTAAAATTCAAATTTCTTTCACTATCAGTTCCCTGCTGCCCTCTTTCTGATCCCAGGGCCACACTGTGACCTTCTTTTCCACCACAAGTTGTTTCAAAGGCTCCTGTGCCCTGGCACAGATGCCACATGGCCATTTCCCAAGCATTCCATTTATTTTCACACCCCTGTAGCCCTGCCAGTATGGTGTCCTCTGGCTGGAAAATCCTTTGTTGCCCTGCAACTGGGAGAAGACTGTTTAGCTCAGGCAGATTTTACCCATTTTATGAAACATCTTTTCTATAACCAGTACCTCCCTGTCTTTTCTTTCTAGGCTTTTGATGTACTTTGATCTGTTAGTTTTCGCTCTTATTCACTCACCAAACATTTTATTGAGAGCCTACAATGTGTAAGGAATTGTTCAGGGGCAAGGAATGAAAGAAGTGAGTAAAATATTAGTTCTTGACCCCAAGGAAGAGCTCATTTTCTATTGGGGAAAAACAGTAATGAGAAGATCAGTTCAAAATAAAGTGGAAGTTCAGTAATAGAGACATCACATAGCATCATGAGAGTCAGGTAAGATGAATAGTGGTAATCAGATGATGGAGAGGATGGAAGGTCCTACCAGATAGAGTGAAGAGCATGAGCAAAGATACAAGGAAGAATGAACAACCAAAGTTTTGGAAAGTACTTCAAAGAGCTTGGCATTATTGACATGTACACCACGAAGAGAGGAAGATGAGTTAGAGTTAGGCAGGAACTACATTGTTGACAATGTTGTAAAAATACAGCTTTACATACTGATTTCTCCAGTGCAGTAGTCAGTGTTCTATTGCTCCTGCAAAATGTATGAGTCTGAGAATTTTATTTGAAAAAAAAAAAAAGTTTGTTTAGCTCTGGAGGCTGAAAGTCCAGACAGCATAGTGCCAATTTTAGTGAGGACTCCCCTGACAGGGAGCCACAAAGAGGGGAGGTCAGGTGTTTGTTTGTGTTTGTGGGTTTTTTTTTTAATAACAACAGTTCTCATGAGAACTTATCAGGGTCTCATGAGAACTACAATAGCTTTTTTCAATCAAGTAGGCAGCAGTCCAAAATGACCTCCTTACTTGCATCAAGCTTCACCTCATAAAGGTTCCACTACCTTCCACATCATCATTCTTAAGGACCAAGGTTCTAACAAATGAACCCTTGAGAGACACATTCAAACCACACATCAAATTAGATTAACTCATCCATTCAACAAATATCTTGGGAGCATCTACTATATTCTCCTAGGAACTGGGGACATTATAGTGATTGTTTCTTTTTCCTATGGAGCTATTATTCCACTGTGGGAAGATAAACAATGAACAAATTAACAAAATATATATTAGGTAATAATAAGTACCATGAAGAAACAAATAACAGCAGAGTAAATGAATGGAGAGTAATGGAGATGCCATTTAAATAGGCCGAGAGTAATACAACATAAGGAGGTCTCCCTTGGGAGAAAGAACATTGCTCGTAGGGAAAAGAAAAGCAGGTGCAAAGGTTCTGAAACAGGAGAGTTCTTGGTGTGTTCAAAGCTAGAGTGGTTGGAGTGGGGTGAGCATGGAGGAAAGTAGTAGAATATGAGGTAAGGGAGGTGGGGAAAGTGAGTCCTCTTTCACAAGACAAACTTAACTAACTTACCTGAGGCTTAGAGGCAGCTACATTCATGGGTCTCGACTGTGGCTGCCCATCAGTTTAGAAGCTTTTTGAAGAACATAATGCCTGAATCTAACCCATAGAAATTATGATTAGTTATATTTTATTTAATGGTATTTATGTTGGGTATTTGTATTTTTTTAGAGTTCCTCCAAATGATTCTACAATGCAGCCAGTAGAGACTCTCTGAATGAATAAACTTTTGTTGAATAGAATTAAATTGAATTTCACCAACAGCAAGAAATATTAAATTTTTTTATCCTGGCAGCACAGTCTTTAAGCATAGCATCACTCTGCATTTATTTTAGAGGCTGTTTTATTTCTTACTAGTTATGTGGCCTTATTTAAGTTTCCTAATTATTCTATGATCCCCCTATGCAAAAACAGGCATGCTATATGCCTACTCCCACTTATGCAATGTTGTGACACAATGTATAATCTACTATATAAATGGAGGCTATTTGGAATGTGAAAGCTCATGTGGGAGAATTGCATGTGAGCAATATAATCAGAACAAAGATATTCTTGGAAAGCTGTAATTATGCATGATTTCCAAATAAAGTAGACATTTCAAAAGAATTATCAGCAGCCAGTACTGCACATAGAATTTCAGTAAGAATAATAAAATAACACCAGTTTTCTTCAGTGAAAATACAAAGGTGTTTGGCAAAATTCATATTGATATATTAGGGAGTCTTAAGATTTAATGGCTGGAAGAGCAAGGGTCTGACTTATCTTTTTTTTTCCTTGAGGAATCTAAGGTCCAGAAAAAATGAGGGATTTGTCCACAGCTTCCTTGTCAGTGCTCAAACAAAAACTAGAATTTTCATCTCTTAATTCAAAATCTAGAGTTGCATTCCTTAAGTGACAAATTAACCGAATTTATGCATTTGCTGCCCAGAATGGAAACATATTTTTTAAACTACAATCGCAAATAAAAGGAATGTAAACAACACCATTAAAACAGATGCAGCTACAACTTCATGCAAAGAAAATTGTTAACATTTTATGGACTTGTTTTCTCAAATATTCCTCAACTGGAATTTTAGAAGTAACACATCTAGTCAAACAAAGGAAAATATGATAGACTTGATCCTGCTAGTGAGAAATCTACTTCAATTAAAATATTCTGGCACAACTCAGGCCCTTTCTCTCCTTAACCACGGAGACTACGTGTGGGCCTAATTTACAGACTTCCTAAATTACAACCTAAAGGCCTGATTAGGGAAGATGCCTTCGGAAGCCCTATGGTTGAATATTCTGAAGCTTTCATCCAGGAGAGAGATGATCACAAGTTGTATGTAGAAAAAAAAAATGTGTGGATGCTGTGATAATCATTTTATGAGCCTATTACTTGATGAATAATATTGATGACTTTTTGAAAAAAAATATCAATCTTTTGATCTTCTAGTGACTAGGAAAAAAAAATATATTCCCTGTATATCAGGAGAACCCTTATCAAGTCCTCACAAAAAAGGACCCTGCTAGTCAGCTGGGAAACTAAGCCCTTGGTAACTGGCTATGCCTTCTCCATGCCCAGAACCTCCGCTGGATGGCTCCAGAGGTGTTCACGCAGTGCACGCGCTACACCATCAAAGCCGACGTCTTCAGTTATGCTCTGTGTCTGTGGGAACTCCTCACCGGCGAGATTCCTTTCGCCCACCTTAAGCCAGGTAAGACAGGCCACACTGAATTTCCATGCCTTCCAAAATTCAGCGCATTTTTACAGATTCAAAAAGCATTTTCTTCCAAATGCATATTCTCAGTGGTGGAATGGAAAGGAGAAGAAGAAAGTAAACAACCTTAAATTGCTTTAAGGTGGTGCCCCATCCAGAAAACTTAATGACAATGGTAATTTTAGACACGGACACAAAGAAATGTAGGAATATTTTATTGAAGTTTAGGGCCTTGATTTATTTGTTTTTAATCAGACTAGCACCTAACTAGGATCATGTGGGGCAAATAATGTTGACAGTACTATATTTACTTTTTGAGATTAAATTTTAGAAATTCCATATATGTGTACACACACACACACACACACACAGTAGAAAAGTAGCAACATGAAAATAACTATGGGGACTTCAACTGCTTTTCCTAACAATTTTGTATGACACATATGGATACAAAATACATCCTCAAAATCAAACTTTGAGTAATCCTCATTTCATTGATGATATACTTTATACTCTGCTAACACATAGAAAGTGGAGATGAGAAATTTAACCACAGGTAAAATGTATACATAATTTATATTCAAGGTAAACTCTATTTGCCTCCATCTTTCAAATTTATCTGTGATGCTTTCATATATTGTCTCCCTATACTGGAAACTCTTTAAGGGCTTTGCATTCCTAGTGCCTATCATGTTTGAAAAGCAGATTGACAAATTAAATCATAAACAAATTCTTCAATGAATTATACTGTAACCTTCTAATGACCAACCTGAAATAATATATCAGTAGAATAAAGTCAAAAGGCAAAGAAGTTAAATATCCCTTTTAACAAGTTAAAATCCTAACAAAGATCATCATATTTATTAGTACTGTTGTACACAGAGCAAAAGCACACCACTTACTTTCTCTTCAAGGTATTTTCCCTAGTATCCAACAGAGTGCCTTTCAGGAATTACATGCTCTATACATTGTTTTTTGAGTGCATTGATGATGTAGTTGTCCTAATCATTCCCTGTATACTTTTCATGATATTAAATGATGATATTAGCCCTTGTTATAATGTGGATGTGATAACTCTATTGTGAACTAAACTGACATTGCCATTTGTAAAATGTTCTGATGTGCTGCTCTCTATGTCTTAAGAGTTTGCATTCTGATAAGACTGCTGAATATATAACAAATCAATTCTAACTCTAGAACACTATGGTATGTTTTCATGAGAGAGAGACAGCTACATCTTTATTCCCTGTACCCTTTGTGTCAGTCCATTCAACTGAATCTGTTGATTTTACCTGCTAATATATCTTGGGAAATGGTTACCACTTATCATAGCCACCACCTTCCTAGCTCAAGCCACCATCTCTTAATTAAACTTTTGCAATAGTCTTTTTAAAAATCAAGCTTATTGTCTGGTGCGGTGGCACACACCTGTTATCCCAGCATTTCGGGAGGTTGAAGCAGGAGGATTTCGAGTTCAAAGCCAGCCTCAACAAAAGGGAGTCACTAAGCAACTCAGTGAGACCCTATCTGTAAATAAAATACAAAATAGGTCTGGGGATGTGGCTCAGTGGTAGAGTTCCCCTGAGTTCAATTCCTGGTAGAAAGAAAGAAAGGAAGGAAGGAAGGAAGGAAGGAAGGAAGGAAGGAAGGAAGGAAGGAAGGAAGGAAGGAAGGAAGGGGAGGGAGGGAGGGAAAAATCAAGCTTATTGGAGTATAACTTATACACAGAAAAATTTATCTTTTTAGATGAACAGTTCAATGTGTTTTAAGAAATATGTACAGTTATAATCAAGATAGAGAAATTTCTATTATTCTAAAATGATCCAGGTGCCTAGTTGAAGGCTATCCACTTCTCCTACCTCAGCCCCTGGCAACTGCTGATCTGATTTCTGTCCCTACAAATTAGCCTCTTCCAGAATGTATTATAAATATAATTATATTAATTCACTTATCAGCAATTTATTCTTTTTCATTTAAATGTAATATCTCATGTTGCATGCGCCTGGATCTATTTATACATTCACAAGCTGATTGTGTGAGTTATTCTCACTTTGAGGCTACTATAATTAAAATTACTAAAATCATTCAGTCTTTGCATGGTGGTTTTCATTTCTCATGGATAAATACATAAGATGGATTGCTATATTTTAAGATAAGAGTTTTTACAAGTTGTGTATACCATTATGGATTCCACCAGTAGTCTGAGAATTTTTATTTAACTAATAACATTGACAATTCTTTCATATGTTTATTTGATATCCATATCACTTATATACAGTGTTCATTCAAATTGTCTAATTATTTAGTTATAAATGAGTTATTAGATTCTAGGTAGAAATTCTTCAACTGCTATGGAGGTTGCAGGGATTTTCCTGTATTCAGTGGCTTGCTTTTTGAAGTACTTAGCAATGAATTTCAGAGAGCAAAAGTTTTTCATTTCAGTAAAGTTTATTACATCATATTTTTAAATTATTTCTTTGTGTATATCCTTTCCAAAACATGCTAGCCTCACCCAAGAACACAAAGACCTCCTACTATATGTTATATAAAAATCTTGTTGGTTTAATTTCTATATTTTTAAGATCTATTTTGCATTCTTTTTAATAATATGGCATGAACTTGTTATTCTGAGTTTTTTTGTGGTTTTCTTATGTGGATGCCCAATTGTTTTAGCATTATTTGTTGGGAGGAAATGTGTCCCTTTTTTTCCAATTAGTTATTTTTGCACTTTTGTAAAACCATCAGTTGACTGTACATGTATACACATTTCTGTCTGTTGTTTCATTGACTCATGTATTACACTTATGTAAATACCATACTATCTTGATAGTTTATACTAAGTCTTGAAATTAGGTAACAAAAAACCTCCAAATCTGCTCTTTTTTGATAAACCTGTTCTCGTTATTTGATTTATTCCATTTCCATATGAATTTTAGAATCAGCTCATCTTTTTCTACCACACACACACACACACACACACAAAAAAAAAACTTTTGGAATTGTTACTAGTTGCTCTGAATGTATAAATCAATACGGGAAAAATTGACATTTTAAGTACATTGGGACTTCTGCTGACAAATATAGTAGACCTCTCCATTCATTTAATTCTTTAATTTCTCCCAATGCATTTTATACTTTTTATTATACAGGACTTTTGCCATTCTTAGATTTGTCTCTATAAATTATATGTTTCTTGATGCTATTATAAATGACATTTTTAAAAATTTTACATCCAATGTTTCTTTTAGTATATGAAAATATATAAGTTTTTAAGCAATAACCTAGTACTCTATAAACTTACTAAATTCACTTATATCCATTCCATTAAGTTTTGTTTGTTTGTTTGTTTGGTACATTCTTTGGGATTTTTACATAGGTGATTATGTCATCTCTAAATAAAGAAAATTTTGTTTCTCTCCAATCTGTATGTTTTTAAAATCTTATCTTCTTACAAGCAAGGATCTTTAGTACAGTGTTGAATAGAATTTTTAAAATATCCTCCTTGAACCTATTGGTTTTTCACAGTTTGTTCCACCACTACCCTGATCACTTGAACCACTAAAATAGCCTTTGACTATTTCACCTTTACTTATTCTTGTCCCTCTTTCCTTTTCAATCTCTACACTTCCACTGATATGATATTTATGAATGATATTTTAAAACATAAATTTGCTCATGTCACCATTGCTTAAGATTATCTTGTGGCTTCTCATATTAGGATTGAAAGGACAAATTCTTAATATCTCCTGAAAGAATCTACCTGATCCTCTTTTTCTAGTCTTACTCATTCAGTTTTATCCAGTGAAAATACGCCAGTCACTCCACCCTTGTTTTATTTCCTTCACTCTAGTCTTTTATATTCCAGTCTTCTTTCTGTGCTCTAGCTACAATAGCCTTCTTTTGCTGCTTTCAATATATTGCATTTTAATCTCACCTCTAGGCATTTCATAAGCTGTTTTCTCAATAAATATAATTAATGATGAGCATTGCCAATATTACTGTGAAGCTCAAATGAAATGGTGTTTTGTAAACTGAAAACTCTCATGACTGCAAGGTGAAAGATCCAAGGGGAAAATGTACTATAAGGTCAAGTTTTCCTATGATTATGAACTTATATGGCATTCTTATTCTCTAGGCAGCCCAGGTTTAAAAAGTCACCCTTGACTCTTCTGATCTCTTATTGTGTACTTTTATTCTCTTCCTATCCTTTCTCCTTCTTTCTTTTTTCTCTTTTTTTATTATTTTCTTTTCAGTCCCATTTTCTGTTATGCTTTGCTAATTCTAAAATAATTCACCTACTTATTGCCATTTCTACTGCTCCATCCTTTATTCACATGTAGAATACTGCCCAGTATCTTAAACATTATCCTCGTCTTCGATTTTCCTTATAATTTTTTCTACCAATCACTAGTTCTAGTTATCTAAAAATTCTAATTTAATCATATGACTTCCTTGACTTAAAAATCCCTAATGTTTTCAGTTGCTCTTAAGATAAAAACAAAATTTCTTAAAGTAATCTACACAAATGGTCAAAAATATATGAAAATGTTCAGTATCATTAGCCATCAAGAAAATGCTATTCAAAATCACCCTAGGCTATCACTTGAATCCAATTGGAATGAATATTATCAAAAATACAAAAATAATAATGGCTAATGAGGAAGTGGAGAAAAAAGAATTCTAATATACTGTCAATGGGAATGCAAATTAGTGCAATCTTTATGCAAAACAATATGGACATTCCTCAGAACACTAATAGTAGATCTACCATATGATCTAGCTAACCCACTTTTTGGGTCAGTATACATTAGAAATGAAATCAATATACCAAAGAAAGCACTCCCATGGTAATGTGTTAATTATGGCACTATTCACATTATCTAAGATGTGATACCCATCAATGATAAATAGATAAGGGAAATGTAGTATATACACTCAATGGAATATTATTCAATTGAAAAGAATGAAATCATGTCACTTGCAGCAAAGTGGGTAGA